TTTGTAGGAACTGTGATCCCCAAGTTGCTCATGCCTCCCTGTGTCCTCGGTTTTTAGTGGTGTCCTCTCACAAGGACTCTGGCATAGCCATGTGGTTTGCTTTGATTAATGGGACAGTAGTAAATGTGACAAAAGCAGAAGCCTGCAAGTCTTTGAGTGTTGGACGCTCAGCCCTCTGCGGCACCACGGTGGCTCAGTCGGTTAAGCTGGTTAAGCTTCCGACTTTGGCTCAGGTCACGATCTCGTGGTTTGTGGGTTCGAGCCCCGCGTCGGGCTCTGTGCTGACGGCTCAGGGCCTGGAGCCTGCTTCGGATTCTGTGTCTCCCTCTCTCTCTGCCCCTCCCCTTCTCGCACACGCTCTCTCTCTCTCTCAAAAATAAATAAATATTTTTAAAAAATGAAGCTCAGCCCTCTGGTTGCTCTTGAACCCCTGTGATCACCTGGGCCAACCTGTTGGAGGATGAGAGACACGGAGCCCAGGGACACCTTCTCCCCACCCTGATGCCTGGCCAACTAACACACATGTGAATGAGGCTGTGCAGGACAGCCAGCCTCCAGCCTACCTGCCAACTGACGGGAGGGGGGACTTACCCAAGTCAATGCAGCGAGACAATGAGGCAATAGGTGACTTCACTCGACGAGTGTTTACTGAGCACCTACTATGTGCCAGACTTTGGGAATTCACCGTGAAGGAGGAGACAGATGGTGTACACATGAATGAATGTGGAATGTGGAGTGCAAGTCCCAGCCGGGTCGGAACTGAGATGAAAGGGTGTGGATTTCCTAATGGGTTGAATGAGAGAAAGACGGGCACCTGGGTGGCTCGGTGGGTTAAGCATCCGACTCTTGATTTCACCTCAGGTCATGATCTCAGGATTCCTGAGCTTGAGCCCCATGTTGGCCTCTGCACTGACCCGTGCAGGGCCTGCTTGGGATTCTCTCTCTCCCTCTGTGAAAAGAAAAGAAAAGAAAAGAAAAGAGAGGAGGGGAGGGGAGGGGAGGGGAGGAGAAAAGAGAAAGAGAAAAGAGAAAGAAAAAAGATGAGAGAAAAGAGAAAGAAAAAGAAGAGAACAGAAAAGAAAAAGAAAAGAAAAAAGGAAAGGAAAGGAAAAGAAAAGAAAAGAGAAGAGAAAAGAGAAAGAAAAAGAAAAAAGAGAAAGAAAAAGAAAAGAGAACAGAAAAAAAGAAACGAGGACAGAAAAGTAAGAAGGAAAGGATGGAAAGGAAAGGAAAGGAAAGGAAAGGAAAAAAGAAAATAGAAAGACTGAAGTCAGGAAGCAGAAGAGGGGGTGACTCCAAGGTGTTTGGCCTGAGCGGTTGGATAAATGGTGATACCGGGAGCTCGAGCGGGTTTACGCCGGAATCCATACCAAAAGGATCGTGCGGTTCCCCGGAAGGACCAACGCGGTTCCTGGGGAGATCGTGCCGGGGCTCCTCGGGGGCCCGTGCGCCCCCGGCCCCCGTTCCTCGCCCTGCCCTGCTCGGTCCCGTGTCCCAGAGGCGGCCTGGCACCGGCACGGCCCGGGTTCCGTCGTCTCTCTCCGCCCGGGGCGGCCCCGCTGCTCCCGGGCGGCGGCCGCCTCTCTTCCGCGGTTCCGGGACCGCGTCTTCCGCCACGTCTCTCCCCGGGACTCTGGCTGTGCCCCACACGTCGGGTCGTCCTGTCCTCCCGGCTCGGCCCCGCGAGGGGGCCCGCAGGCCCGGGTGGGAAGCGGACACCGCGCACGACCCGCCCCGGGCGGCCTCACGGGCCCCGGGCGCTCCCCTCGCGCTTCGCCCGCTCCCGACCGCCGCGCTCCCGGGCCAGACGCGCCCGCCGTCCGCGTGGAGGAGTTTCCACGCCGCGTGCGGGCTCCCGCTTCAGGGCCCGGCCCCGAGCCGCACGCGGCCTCCCCGAAGCCGCTCGGCGGCGCCCCGGCCGCCCAGCCCGCCAGAGCGGAGGAGCGCCGAAGCCAAAGAACGACGACAGCGCCCGGGGCCCGTGAGGCCGCC